GGATCTATAAAACTCTTTTACAGACAATGTTCTCATTAATTTAGTGGGTACACGTTTAGAGTTAGTAGTGTGCAGGTGGAAATCAAGATCAGATTAAAAGTGTGTATGTGGCTGCACCAGCTGGGAATTTTTTTCTTGCATGATTATGGCCTCAGTGGGTCACAATATTACATTTATACCGTATGGTTTTGCATACTCTAGTCCTTCACTATGTGCATACTTATACATGAAGTCAGCTTAACACACTTACCGTATAATAAAGGCTGAAGACAAGGAGTTGGTCTGTGAAAACTTCACTGAAAGCAATTATGAAACAGAGAAAAAAGAAATGGACAACAAACTCAATGATTACATGTGAAAAAGATAAAATACCATAGACAATAGTCACTAATACAGAAACTGGATCCACAAAAGTAGGCAAACTGTTACATTAGTAAATCCTTGTGCAAGGATGAAACAAAGCATCACCAGTGAAAGGTCAACATTAAGTTCTCACAGGATGGACAACACAGTAATTCATCTAGTAATTATACACATAAGTTAAGACAGTAAACTTAACAAATGTTGTGTCAGCAAAACATTAAGCACACTGGCTAGCTTGGTTAGCAGTAAACTTATGGCAGTAAATTAACAAAACACAAATCAACAATCACAAAAGAGCTGTAAAAGTAAAAAAAAAAAAGTCACAGATGATGCTCCTGGGGCATTTTAGGAAGTAGATATTAAGATCTCAGTGAGTTGAACTGCAGCTGCCATAGAACTTCAGGTGCTACAAGCAACAGATGTTCAACAGAAACCAACTTCTGGTAGCAGAATACAGTAAAATATTATGTCCCTGAAACACTGTTTTGAACCAGGACACAATGTTTATGTCACTGAAATACTGTTTTAAGTCAGTGGTTCTTGACCTTTTTGGCTTGTGACCTACTTGTGACCTTTCATCTCAAGTTATGGCCTTAGTGTAGTCTTGGGATCTGAGTAGTGATTGTTTCCTTCTTGCATGTGTCTCATTTGATGGATTGAAAGGCCTGGAGAGGTCAAAGTATATACTATTCCACAAGAAAAAGAAGCAAAAATTTGAGAAAAGGGAAAAGAAATCCGTTTATCCCTTGAATCACATGGTGATTTATGTTATATACTATACATATTTCTCATGTACAAAACATAAAAAGTTTAAATAATAATAATTATGTGTGAAGCCATGATTATGCAATTAATATCACACTTTTTTTTTTTATATAAAAGCTTTAAGTTCACTCCAGATACAGTGGACTTAAAGTACCAACTGCAGGGGATTTTTATTGCCCTCTAGCCTTATAAGGATGTCTTCAGCCTGTGACATGTACTACTGAGAGAGTCTACAGCAAATCCACTACAGTTTGACATTTCATATTCCTGCACTATAAATCCAATGAAGCTCTCATTGATTCCTGTTGATTTAAAGCATCTCTGGGGTGAAATACAGCACTGCTCAGCAATGGGAACTTGTGTGTATATTCTGGATGTGGATATACAGTATTTGTAGTGTGGTGGTGGGTCACGTTGGGCTGGGCTTCTGTGGGTTTGGCTGCACACCATGGGACGACTGACAGAGGAAACCAGCCGCCACTGTCTTCAACATTTATCTACATTATCAGCAATACCTAATGGGGCTTAGCTGCCCAAGAAGCCTCCAGCTTTACATCCACAGTGAGACAACAACACTGCTTCTGGTATTGCCCAAACTGAAATCTTTTATTTATTGAACTTGTTTTATTGCTGGTATGTGGCTAAATTTCTTAGGGGAATGTAATTAATTTAGGCTATTAATGAACCTTGTTTGGGTGCATACTTGTCGACCACAGTGTGGTGCTGAGCATTACTGAATTAAGATCTTAGTGTGGCAGATGCAGAGATGCATGACTCTTTTCTAAATGTCATGGGAAGTCAAGCTCTGCTCTGTTTGCTGATATAAGCAAATAAATGAGTCATTTGTTTTCCAGGTCATAAAGTCCTGTGACTGGAAATATATGTCTGCGCAAAGACACTCAAAGCCTTAAGGAAAATTCAAGCCTAAGTGTGACTATGGTAGCATGCTCAAGTTGATCTTTAAGGTATCATCACAACTCAATACACACTAGTGTACATGCTGGTGAAAATCACCTCTTGTTAAATTTGGGAAATCACTTTAGACAGTTACATGAGGAGATTGATACTACTATTACCTACATGCTAAATATGAAGCTACATCAGCTGGTTAGATTAGCTTAGCATAATGACTGGAAACAGCTGGCTCTGTCCAAAGGTAAAAGAAATTCAACTACCAAATTATTAAATTAACATGTTTTATCGTTGTAATTAAGCTGTTTTGCAGTTTCCAGTCTTTATGCTAATCAGTTGCTTACTCTTTTTTTTGTCCCAAATGATAAACTGTCTCTCCGTCCAAAACCAACATTTACATCCAACTTTTCCACTCACTGTTTCTCACCACTCTGCTCTTATTCTTTGCTGGTATGTACATTTAAGTCTGCTGCTCCGGCCGAGCAGTAGCCGGTGCAGTCTGTATAAATATTGGATTTAAACATTAGCTTGGCACTGGGCAAACATTTTATCTCTTTCCGCAGACAGAAGATATCTGTGGGATCACAAAAATGCCTTCATATTTTTACTTCTCTCCTAACCATGGAGCAACATATAGAGTAGCATGAGGGGCTACCCAAAATGTCATGGTATTATTTCCGTCACTAAACTAGATTAATCCTGATTGTCTGATTTCATATGTACTCTGGTTTTTCCATTGAGAGAATACAGAGTAAACAGCAGACTTTCTGACCCTCCAGTGGCTTTGGTGGTTCCCCTGAGGCCCTCAATCTGTGGCACTGGCCTTAGCTTGGAGTGCTGACATACTTGTGCCCTTACACACGTTATGCACCCGGTGAGCAATTGAGCAAATAATAAATGAAAGCACAGAGCACAGGCCTGCAGTTTGCTTCTCTGACGGGGGGGGGGGGGGGGGGGGCTCAGAGGGGGTGTCGGGGGTCAGCTGCTTTCTCAGAGCGATCTTTTTCAACCAGGCGTCCAAAGTCAACATTCCAGCTAACCTGCAGCCATCAGAGTGCAGACGGAGAATGAAAGCGAGAGGAAATGAAGGGAGTTGGAGAGAAAACGACAAAAAGAGCATCATGAGGAAAGAGGGATTTTTTTTTTCTCCTGAAAAGCTAAGGTTTCACAGGTTTGGCTTTCCCAGCTTTGGAAGCCCACATGCCTTCATCTGGGTAGACATCATCAATTACCCCTAATTAACCAGATGATGGTCTGGTGAGCAGAAAATGAAGCAGGCGATTAATCACTCAAACAAAAAATGTGAACAAAAAGAGCTCTCCGGTCTTCTTAGATTTGTCCTCCATGCCCAGAAACAGGACATGTCCTAACTATTATGGTCCTGAAATATCTGTCCACCTGACTAATGAAGAAAGCCTCATGCATGTACAGTATGCAGTGTACAGTTGATCCATGAATGGGATAATACATAAAGAAACAATAGTCGAGCAGGCTTCTAGATGCCATCTTTTTATTAGATGGAGGGAATTTTCTGCCTCCATTGAGGTGTAGCTTTTCTCTTCTTTTGCTCACTTGTGTCATGCTTCCTCTGTGGGTGAGGTACTGGTGTGGTGGTTTGGGCAGATGACGTAATTGTGGGAAGGTCCCGGGTGCAGTCAAACTTGTAATTCAGTGAGGAATTTTTCATCTGGTCAAGGCTGGCCGGGTCTGTCTTTATAAATAAAGATGTTAGTCTTCAAAAAAGGAAAAACACAGGAAGAGAAAAGGAGATACATGAAAGCCCTTTGCTAGCCCACTTAACTCACTCAACACTGCTGGAACACCCTGATATGAATTTCTAATCCCCATAACATGGTCACAGGTCAAATGTCTGTGGTGTTTACAGTATGAGGTTCTACAAATAAGAACATGCTGATGCTTAGCATGAAATAACTACAGTCTTGATCCAGGAAAATATTATCCTGACCAGAAGAATCCAGAATTTGTCTTCCAGACAGTGTTTTTGGGGCCGTTCAAGGTTTTGTTCATGAGCCAGTTATAAGGTTTCTGCATAAATCTCCACTGCCACATGTAATTTAGTCATTTTCAATCAGTCTCCTTTGTTTATCTAAATTAAATTATGGCCATGACTATGTATATTCAAGTTTAGCTCAGCCAGTCTTCATCTTTTTTAATAAAATAGGATATTCCCTGCAGGACAGCAGCCTCCCAGCAAGTGCAGGTACAGCACACCACTTGCTGTGTGCACTGGAGGTCAGCTACTGCTATCATCGGCTGAGCTGGAGGTGGGAGTGGGTTGTTTCAGTGGTATGGACTCGCTCCATATGCGTTTTATTACCTCATCTTCAGGGGTGATTTATGGCTCTCTCACAGGCCACTCTTCTGAGCTGTTTATATCTGCTGAAGATAAAAGAAAATCATGGCTTTATTACTCAGACGGAGTGGGTCTGTTTGTACAACAGACAGCCCTCATTGGACAGCTGCAACAGGCCTGCATCGCACATATCTGATCTGCCTTTTCAGAGGCAATAAACCGTCCCATGTGGGAAAAGCATCGCTGAACAGTACTGGATGTGTTAAATGCAAATTCCATTAGTCTACTCCTAATGTTGACAAGTGGACATTTTATCCTTATGACTCATCCTTGAAATAAAAAACAACACACCAGCTTCGCTTGGGTTGTTAGAGCGTTTCTGTCTGGATCAGAGTGTCTTGTATCTTAAACATCAAACATTAGCATAATTAGACAAAGGCTACTATTTGATATAGAAACAAGAACGAATGTCCCTGTATGCCCTCTTATATTTTCACAAAGCTCTCTCCCATGCTACCTCTGTCTAAACATTCTTAGCCTGTGGCGCCACCTTGTGTTGACGATGAATACAGCACAATACAGAGTAGCCTGAGCCCAAACTTCAGAGTACTTCAGAGACAAAAAAAAAAAAAAGTAGCGAGGCCTGTTACAGTAACACATTATTTTATTAGCCGATACAGAGGATTAACTGTTTGTTGTAAGGCTCTGTTATACTGACACACTTGAGACCAACAATAACAGCAGCTTACAATATACACCGACAGAGAAGTCAGTGAATTCTACAAAACCAAAACTATTCATTTTTAAAATCAGGAAAGAAATTATAGTGTCTCAGTACATTTAAATGATGAACACTTTGTACTTCATGTAATTTACAGACCTTCTTATACATCCTCCCCACAGTGCCAGTGAAGGTTTGACTTCAGACAATAGTAAAATTATGGGCTGGTATCACCTTAAACCCAAGAAGCTTTCTAAGAAAACAGTACAGGATTGGTAACTGTGATGACATTGTCTAATGAGTGTGATATTTACTATAGTTGAAGCATGCGAGTTAATACGACACTACTGTCTGCAGAAAATAAGTTGACAAGCATACATATTCGGAACGCACAGTCACGTGTGCTGCACAATTGTGAATTGATCCGATTGTTCTCAATTATAATTTCTGACTCTGCTTATCGACTTCTGTCATTTACGCTCTACTGTTTCTATAATCTTGTTATATTAAACTATTACAGACCAATATTCCACACAAAATCCACAGCTAATACATTTAGTAAGACATAACATAATTAGTATGGAGGCAGAGGCTGAGAGGTCCTTTTTCACATTCCAGCAACAGCAAGTGGAATTTTTTTAACATAACGGCACCATTTTTCGATAATTTCTTTTTTTTAATATATATGGTTCTGCAAGTAACCTCACACTAATAGTGCTTTTTAATGATAGATGGTATAGTGTAAACAGAGGGGGATGATGTGGTGGAATACAGTAAATCGTGATATATATGGGTACTGCATTTAGCAACATTAAAAAATATATAAATAAATAAAAGAGCATTAAGTGAAGTTAAACTTATCAGTTAGTCTGCAGTCAGCCATGGTTTCATATAGTTTATAAACTTTCCTATCATGCAATGACCGTATGTTCCACAATGTATTTGATTAAGCAACTTCAACAACAACAAACAAAATTAACTCTGTATGCCAAGTAGATCTCAAATGGATGTCAATAAGCAGAATCAGAAATGATTTGTAAATGAAATGAATCCCACAGTTTAAAGAAATTAGGTCAAAGAACCCAACACTAGGGCTGTCTGATGGTAACCAGAGTATTCATGTTCAGGGAGCGAGCGGTCCCAGCCTCAGCTCTACATGGTGCGTGAGCCAAATGGCCTCAGCGGTGGTGTCAGCTGCCTCCTCGCTCGGCCTGACAGGAGCTGCGAGGTTCCGGAAGTCATGTCGGATCTTAAATGAAACGGTGACATCGGTGTCCTCTTCTTTCTGAGGGATCACTTTGATGAAGAAACCAATCTTGTTGGATTTCCTGAAGGCAACAACACTGTGGAAAAGACAAAGGCATCAGGTTAAGAGTGACTTCAGATTATTAATTGTGTGTGTGTGTGTGTGTGTGTGTGTGTGTGTGTGTGTGTGTGTGTGTGTGTGTATTGACTTACTCTGGGTCATCCTGGAAGTCCTGGGGTTCAGCCAGTTCATCATACTCAGCGGCAGCATCCTTTCCTGCCAAGACCAGTTCCTTGCTGGGTACTATAACCTAAAGAAATTTCCAAAATTCAGTGACTTTCAGACTTGGATGAATCAACATAGATTTTAAATGGCGGGGCGGGGGGGATGAATGTTCGACTCCAAAGTGTGTTTTTGTTTACTTCACTTGGATGTTTAACCTTCACTGCGCTGAATGATGTGTGCACAGTTCATCACTAGAAGGAGGTTTTGGCTTTCGTCTGCTGAAGGAGTAAAGTTTCAATGAGGGATAAATAGAACAAATGATTTAAGAATTTTTAACGGGGTAACCATATCAGCCACGAATTATTCTTCCAAGGGGAGTTTTTTTTAAGTCTTAACACACATCTGGACATAAAATGTGTTTGTTAATAAATTACTATTAACTTGGCATTACTATTAATTAACACATCCATCTGATTCTAAACTGGAGTTTGATTACAACAATGTTAAGAAAGCATTTTGGAATGGACCAAGATGAAAAAAGTGTACAATGAACAAGTTTATGGCAATTTGCAACAAATAACCACTTCACAATTTTGGCTCTGGTCCAATCTTTTGATTCCCTATGAGAGCTTGGGGCTCTATGAATGGCCACTTGAGGCTTTAAGTTTGTAAAAGAACACCTCTTGCAGCTCTTTGATAGTGCTGCCGTCACTGCACACTTCATTTGAAGGTATCCCAAAATGTTCGCACTGCACAGAAAACAATTATGTATTCATATACAGTCATTTTTGTGACATGTGCAACAAATTTGGATCACATTAACATCTAAAATGAAAACTACTGAGGTCATTAGCCAACTAACACAATTTTCTGATGAAACATAGTAAGGAGGCTTTGGAAACTGCTGGTTGATGAAATCAACCAAGCATGGCTTGCTGCGATTCAAACTGCCCTACAGGTGTGCGAATATCAGATGAAGCAGAATGACAGGACTGAACACACTGTTTGGCCTTGATGTGAACAGAAATGGGTCATGAAGATGCTCTGTTTTGGCCAGGAGCTCTTCCTTACCCAGTTTGGCCCATGACTTCGTCACTAAAGAGGCCAAGACAAACAGCCTGTAGTCACTGAGAGCCTCGCAGCGGCTGCTGGCAACAGGCAGCTCAGCAGACCATTTACCACAGCAACACGGCACTCTTAGCTGCGTGTGTGACAGCTGACAGATGGAGGTAAAAATGGGGCACAACTGCTCTGCATATGAGATGATAACGAGGTTACCTATCCCATAAGGAACTGGCAGTATGAAGGAGCCGACCACCTTTAGCTCTCTGAAGCTGGCTGGTTTGATATAATATGCAATATTTAAGAACAGGCAGGTGGTAAACAACTGCCACAATCTGTGACTGTGCCCATTTCTCACACCTTGTATTTAAGCCATGATGCTCTTTAAAGCAGTTCAAGCTCAATTCGTTGTTTGGCCACCATGTGGGGCAGAAGTACTCCCAAACAAGCTGGTAGACAGACACACTGTCACACTTTATGAGACACATTATTGCCTCATAAAGTGGTTTTAGTAAACGACCGTGTATCTTCCAGCTCATCCCCTTGAACAACCTCTGACCACCTGTCAAATGTTCACTGACGTTTAAGCTCAGTCTAAGTAAGCACATGTTTGTCACAAGAGACACCTTTCAGATGTTCTTTAGATTCAGCATTAACATGAATAAATAGAGTATTTAAGCTCATTGAAGAAAAACTGACATACAGCCTCTGGTTATCCTGCCTAAAAGACAGTAAAAGGCAAGATTTACACATTTACAATTAAAAATCATGGTGTCAGTGTTTGGTAGTACAGGAATGAGTAATGAGTATTTGTGCAATGGCCACTTCTTGAAACTGTATGATACTTTCTGTGACTCCAGTTTATTTCAACAAGTAACAGGAGAGCATTTCGTTAAATACCTTGGCAGTGCTGTTGATGTCATCAGGATCTTCCTCGTCACAAGAAGCCAATGTGACGTGGGTGACGTTCTCCACCGGGTTGGTCAGGGTCAGCAGCACTTGGCTCTCCTTAAAAGACAGCATTGGGGGGAGGGAACAAAAGATGAACCTCTCAATGCTGGTTGAGTTGACTTATAACTCTTCTTTGATCACTAAAATGGACCATTTATTTACTGCAGAGTTAGCTAGCTTGACTAATTGCACACACTGACCTTCATGTACCGGAGATTTGGAATGGACATAATTCTCACTTCTGGGATGTAACTCCTGTGGAGGAGAATACACTGTAACACTCAAACACACACTGACAATATACTATTAAATACTAATATACAACAACAATATACAATACTACACAGCATTCAAAATACATTCATTAAAAGCTGAGAGTTGATCCTAAGCATCACCAAAGAAACGCAACCATTCACAAATCAAAAACTCCTGAGAATGGCAGTATGCTATTTGTACAGTAATGGATTAACCCAAAACAGGCAACTGGATTTATTTTCCAGGACATCATTTTAGATCATGTACACCTTTTGGTTATTTTCATTTAAAATGAATGAAATGTGTTTAAAATTAACATAATAAGCATGAATAATTTCCTGTACACATTTTGGGACCTTAATCTAATTAAACTACATCAGGCTTTAGGCTGATTTATATTTTTCATGAATTACAAGAAGATCAACATCATCGTGAAAACACATGACCAGTACTCACACAGCCACCAGCTGAATTTTAAACTTGATTGAAGTGGGATTAAACTCTGGCTTGCTCAAGTTGTGCTCACATTTCTGGAAGAGGAAATTAAGAAAACAAAAAGATCTTAATGTGATCTACATAAAAACAACAGCCTTTGATAGATACACAGAGAGTAAACCCCTGAAGTGGTACTGACCCTGCAGCGCAGGGAGCGCTTCATCAGAAGGTGTTTGTGTCTGGGGTGGAGCTGAGATGCCCCCGCAGGCTGGAAGTCAGGCTGCAGAAGCCGCTGGCGCAGCGTGGTCACTGGGAGGGACACAACAAAAACACTGATTCAACTCCACCCCAATTAGATAAAATTAGCAGTGTTGTTTAATGCGTTCCAAACAAACTAACCCTCTGGTAAACTGACAGGCCCGGTATAACAATCTTCAGGCAGGGGTTCCATTTCATCAAGGGCCTGGGCAGGTTCGATGGTGATCTCCTTCTGGTCCTCACCCTCTTTAAGGCTAGTGAAGTAACACAAATACTGCTATCAACAATCTGTTGCAGGTCTTAAAATTAGGGCTGGGCAATAAAACAATAACAATTATTGTGATATAATTTTTTCCTCAATAAAAATAAAACAACTTGAATAATTGTTCGATTTTATTCATTTGAATCACAAACTAATCAGCGCAAAATTTTTCTATTAAGATATTAATTTGTTGAAAAAAGGACTGAAAGAATATTTTACTTATGCATAGATTTGTATCATGAATGTTCTACTTCAGATTTGTGAAATGATCCACTGTTTGTCATCAAGTGTTTGTCATCAAGTGTTTGTCATGTTCTGACCGTAAAGAATAGTTTTAAACCACAAATCAGCGTCTGGTTTCTCCAACTGTCAGTCAGGTGCAAAAAACTGCCTTTAAACTTGAAAGAAATAATAATAGAAATTTATGGTGATAATTATCAATATTGACCTTTTTGACCTATTGCCCAACCCTACTTACAATGGGGTTTCATCTAATCTGATGGCTGACTACACTGTAAAACATAGAGAGATTTTCTAATGTTTCCACCACTCAGACCACATACACATTAAAGTAAATTTACCAATAGTACAGATGGTTTTGAAAGTTTACTAAAAATAACCTACATATAGGTCACATTGCCACTGAGCATTTTCCAAGCACAAAGTAAGGATTTACACTAATTCTATGCTTTCTTGGTACCACTCGTGTCCAACAACCTTGCAGTTGGCTTCTCTGACATCAGAGATTTTAGACTTTGCTACTGAATGGCAATCTTTTGAAACATGAGACAACTGACATCACAAAATTATTTACAGGGTGTCCCAGCCTGCTTTACGTTGGTCTCCTGGATCTGACAGCACACTTTGTCAATACAGTACAGTGTGTCAGCCAATTAATTAATAATTTTCTGATGTTAAGCAGGGTCCTTGAACACATCCCACTGGTGAAACTTACAAATGGTCTTTGCTTACAAATGTAATATTACAAGAGTGACAAACTTCACTTCACTGAGATCGATCACTTTTGTGTCTCAAGCGAAGTTTCAAGGCTCTGCAAATTGATTTTCATGGCACACTAAAATGAATGAAACAAATGGCTTCTAAAAAGGAAAAAACAGATTTATCTAGTCAATAATAATAACAACATGTATAGACGTGGGACAAATTAAAGGAAAAATCCCTGACTAAAGGAGCGGAGTGCACCAGGGCTCACTTAACAGTTTGGGGAGTCTGAAAACGACGTGAATTAAACGATACAGCCTTTACAATCGCCAGAGCTCAACCTAGTTTCACTCCTTTTGAAGATTCTGGACAAATGTGTAAAACAATGCTCACCACCACCATCTCCAAATGATATAATATTATGTCTGGCTATGTTCTTTCTTGTCTGCTGTCCTCCGTTCTTTCTTGCAAAAAATCTCAATGAGATTACCTGATTAAATAAAGGTTGTGTGTGTATATATATAATTAAGAAGCCCCAAAGCTGTTCTGAAGGCTTGTGTTGGCCTGACTCCATTGTAAGACACTTCATGCTGGTTTTTCCACGTTTCATTTGTCACCCATACTAGTTTTGCTAAGAAAACATTTTTTCCCCCCATGTGTGGAGTGAAAAAGCATCAGTAATTCCCAGTAAATGACAAAAGACTACTCACGAAAGGCCAGCCAGATTTGATATGGGGGCTCCAGGCCTCTGCCTCTGCAGTCTGGTTCCAAGGCCATATTTTTCCTGAGTGAATTTAGGGGGGGGAAAAAAACAAGATCAGGCACCCTTCCTGTTGAAAGTTAAGAAGAAAATTACCTAGCTACAACCATTTGTCTACATGACTACTTTTAACACAAGGGATTTATGACAACCTTTTTAAATCAAAAAAGTAAAAAATAATAATAATAAAAAAGGTATTTGACAACTAAATAAAACAATAAATAAGCCAAAAACAACTTCATTTGTGCTAGGAGACGCTAACAGGAGCCTTTCTGCACAGAGAGCGGGAGAGAATCAACTCTGACAGACTGAGGGTTCAGAACTTAGTATTAACAATATTTTGATCTGGTTACACAGACTTTCTCTTTCTCTTTTATTTCTTCTCTCCCTCTAACAGACATAAAGGCTCCCATTGTGTGGCTCTCCGTCTCATTTAACCAAGGTGACATTCATGTGATCTGAGAGGTCACTCAGTAACAGATTAGGACAGGAACAGTGATAAAGAAAAGACAGCACTAGTGTAGAGATCAGACTACCCAAGTTGTGAAAAATACAACTCACCACCACATGAATTGTGTGTTGCTGGGGGGGTAAAAACCAAAATATCAGAGTGCATAAGCAAAGAAAAAAAAGAGAGAATTAAGAACCAGGTGAAACCAAAGCAATTTAGCAAACATTAGTGGCAATTTGGTGACATGCAATGGCAACAGAAATGCATCGCTGATGGAAAACAACTGCAAGACATCACAGGTTAAGCATTTAAAAATTATTCCATTACACAGTGGGAAAGATTTGTTTGCATTATCGATTGTTAAATAATGTAGAAGCAGAATGCAGGAGGTGTAAACAATGTGCCCACGAGCTCAAACGTGAAGACCATGCCTGCACCAGGGTGACTAAATTTGCCTCATGCACTTCAACAAAACACTACAGCAGATAATATTGCCAATTATTCCCTCCTGCTGTGAAGGTGTGCTAATCATATAATAGCCTCAACGGTACATCCTTTGAGAATAGCCTTGGTGATAATAAGATTTTTTGAGATTCTGTGTTCAAATACATCTCTTAAATGCATATAATTCTAGATCTATGTTCTTCTTCAACAGTACCACCACATTTTGTAACAAACTACAATGAGACAAACAGCTGTTTGACATTTGAAAAAGGTTAAAGAATAAAGTATGAATGTTTTCAAAAGGCGGAACTGGGTTCAGAGGGAGTAGAGTACCGAGAATGCCAGAGGCATGCACTGTCGTCTCCTGGCCAGCTTCTTCCTGTCTCTCTCCTGCTTCTCTCTGTGGGCCAGCTGCTGGTAATACTCGATCAGCTTGTTGATCTGTAGGGCACAAAAAGTTCACCCAGAGACTGGTCATTAATGCTTCATGTATTAAAAAAATAAATAAATACACCACACAAGCATTATGAAGAATTGGTCAAGGGTAACCCAACCCCCCACCACCACAGTCTCGCAGCACTACATATTTTTGGTTGTTTGAGGGGCATGAGGAATGTACATGCGGTGTACCTTAAAAGTAACGAAATAATCCAGGAAGGCATGACAGGTAAAAACTGTAAGGTCATCCCTCAAAACAAGTGGTTAACAGTCTTTAAATGAGCTTGTGAAATGTGCAGAATGATGATCAACTACAATGACGATCACTGAAAAAAAACACTTAAATAATTTGGGACAATAATTAGTGGTGTAAGAATAAAAACGGCATAAAACTACAAGATAATTTGATTGATTTTAAATTAACAATTACTTAAATTATGGAAAAAATTATAAAGGAGCATTTATGATTTGGCCTAAGCAACCACTTAGTTTACTTTTGCCTCGGGACGGCTGTGTGTGGTGTCACTTATTCAGAAACACGTCTATTGAAAAACAAGCAATGCATGATCAGGAAACATGTGAGCAACTCGAGAGAAAGATGACCACAGGGGAAAACCTACCCGCTGAGTATGAGGGTTCTCTGGCTCCTGCCATCCACCGCTGGCTGTAGTGAACAAAATTTGCCAAAACATGAGACTTCAACAGCCACAAGAAACAAATACAACAGAAAACAGCTTTCTTCATGAGCTGAGTAAATGAGCAACCGTAGCAGGACTTTTGACACATTATGGTGTTTTGGTACTGTTGATGCTTCTTACTCCAAACTGAAGTTAAAGTTTTGTAAATACTGTACATATGGCCAAATTAATGTGTCATTATATCAGCACCCACCAACTGATTTGTCAGCCATTCCCACATCCCTGGAGGTCCAGCGACAGAAGCCGCAGGCCAGGTAGTAGGCCTTCTTCATGGCCGTCTTGGTGGGATCATCAGGCAGAGGAGCTGGGATGTTGGTGGCCCGAGTAGACAGTGTGTGCATGCAACATGGGCAGTCAAAACAGTTTGCACACCTACAGTAGCACACAGATAATCAGGAATGAATAACATTAATGACATCAATATGACGCAGTAAGGAGAACAGTCAGATACAAAGTCAGAGTGAGTTTAGATAGAGATTATCTTCCTCCATGCATCTGGACCTCAGTCTCACCTGTTCTTTTTAAGCTTAGCCTCTGCAGATGGCATGTTCTCCAGACAGCTTGGACAATAATGGGAGTCCACCTGATCACGAAAAACAGGGGTCCGTGAGCAGGAGTCAGTCAAACTATGAATCGACATCTTAAGTTTTTATTACACTGGCTTCTTAATTGTTGTGCTACCAAAGTATAAGCATGCATTTTGGCAGTGTGGTACAATGAAAAAGTTTTTTAGTGAAGCAAGATTGATGGTTTTCCGGATTTCAGTGATCACATATTTACAAAGAAACGTCAGACCAGTCAGTTGAAATAAATGAAACATCTAACTAACGTTAGCATAATTTAGAGCACTCTGGGTGTGTCCACAACTATGAGCCACGTTAACAAGATGGGGTTTGACAATGAAGACGTTAGCTGGGGTGGACTAACGTTGTAACAAATTGTTTTTACATGTCGGACATTCTGCGCATATTCCTTATATGTGAGATAACCGAGTGCTTTACCGTTAAACCCAAAGAGCTAGCTAGCTTCTTCGCCCATTTATACTGTGTTCGGCACAACGCTAACTCTAGCGGAAGTTAAACGTAGCAGCCAATGAGATGAGGAGACTTTTAGTAAAACTCTTGATTGACAAGTGGCTTAGCCATACACTGCGCGAGGTGGTCGGGCTAATCCCACCTACTCGTCACAGCTCCTAGCAAGCCGGCTAACAACAAAGTGGCTACTGACTAAACAAAGCTAATAGCTAGCTTGTGAAAACCAGGAGGTAGTAAGGGGAAACGTTCACGTACCTCGTGAGACACACATTCCAGAGACCGTAGCTCACTACAGTAGCGACAGAAATAAAGTTGCGATAAAGGGGTTCTGATCCTTTTCTCTCCGCGAACCAGATAAATAACTCTATCTGGCTGCAAAAGGGACGCCATCTCTAACCAGCGCAGCCTGGTCCGCGGTGGGCTCACGGGCAGCACTGCTAGTATTGATGTCACCGCTGGTTGGTCTTTAAGGAAACACAGTGCGCTTAATGTCGACCTCATGTGGTTAATATTGAAACTGCCACCCTCTATCCATCGATATACAGCTGCTGGTCATATAATTAGAATATCATCAAAAAGTTGATTTATTTCAGTAATTCCATTCAAGAAGTGAAACTTGGATATTATATTCATTCATTACACACAGACTGATATATTTCAAATGTTTATTTAATTTAATTGTGATCATTAAAACTGACAACTAATGAAAATCCCACATTCAGTATCTCCAAAAATTAGAATATTACTTAAGACCAATACAAAAAAAGGATTTTTAGAAATGTTGGCCAACTGAACATTATGAACATGAAAAGTATGAGCATGTACAGCACTCAATAATTAGTTGGGGCTCCTTTTGCCTGAATTACTGCAGCAATGCGGCGTGGCATGGAGTCGATCAGTCTGTGGCACTGCTCAGGTGTTATGAGAGCCCAGGTTGCTCTGATAGTGGCCTTCAGCTCTTCTGCATTGTTGGGTCTGGCGTATCGCATCTTCCTCTTCACAATACCCCATAGATTTTCTATAGGGTTAAGGTCAGGCGAGTTTGCTGGCCAATTAAGAACAGGGATACCGTGGTCCTTAAACCAGGTACTGGTAGCTTTGGCACTGTGTGCAGGTGCCAAGTCCTGTTGGAAAATGAAATCTGCATCTCCATAAAGTTGGTCAGCAGCAGGAAGCATGAAGTGCTCTAAAACTTCCTGTTAGACGGCTGCGTTGACCTTGGACCTCAGAAAACACAGTGGACCAACACCAGCAGATGGCATGGCACCCCAAACCACCACTGACTGTGGAAATTTTACACTGGACTTCAAGCAACGTGGATTCTGTGCCTCTCCTCTCTTCCTCCAGACTATTGGACCTTGATTTCCAAAGGAAATGCAAAATTTACTTTCATCAGAGAACATAACTTTGGACCACTCAGCAGCAGTCCAGTCCTTTTTGTCTTTTACCCAGGAGGCGAGACACTTTTGACGCTGTGTCTTGTTCAAGAGTGGCTTGACACAAGGAATGCGACAGCTGAAACCCATGTCTTGCGTACGTCTGTGCGGGGTGGTTCTTGAAGCCCACATTTTTTTTTGTTTCACAATCCTCTCCAGGGTGCGGTTATCCCTATTGCTTGTACACTTTTTTCTACCACATCTTTTCCTTCCCTTCGCCTCTCTATTAATGTGCTTGGACACAGAGCTCTGTGAACAGCCAGCCTCTTTAGCAATGACATTTTGTGTCTTGCCCTCTTGTTCAAGGTGTCAATGGTCGTCTTTTGGACAGCTATCAAGTCAGCAGTCTTCCCCATGATTGTGTAGCCTACAGAACTAGACTGAGAGACCATTTAAAGGCCTTTGCAGGTGTTTTGAGTTAATTAGCTGATTAGAGTGTGGCACCAGGTGTCTTCAATATTGAACCTTTTCACAATATTCTAATTTTCTGAGATACTGATTTTGGGGTTTTCATTAGTTGTCAGTTATAATCATCAAAGTTAAAAGGAATGAACACTTGAAATATATCAGTTTGTGTGGAATGAATGTATACATTATACAAGTTTCACTTTTTTTTTTAATGGAATTACTGAAATAAATCAACTTTTTGATGATATTCTAATTATATGACCAGCAGCTGTATGGATTACTGGACACGTGGAGTGAGAGGGCCCCTAAAGCCAGAACAGACGGTAATGAACATGAAAAGATAGCTCAATCAAGATGGGACGTCCTGATTTTGTTCCGAGTTCTTAGAAATATTGTTATGTTACAAAGCTGTGCAGTGAATGTGTTTTTTCTATGAAAAGTTAAATACCTAGTTAAAAAATGTACTCCTTCCCCTTACTATATCTGCATCTAGAATATTATATTAAAATGCAAATAGGCTATTACTTATTTCAAAAGTTTTTAACTACTAAATGCAAATGCCATTTGTAGTGCACATATAGGCCTACTGGAGGTTTTGAGTTTCCACATCACACCTGTTTAAGTTTTATGACTGGAAACACATTTTTAACTACATCACGAGTTTCCTTTGATGGTTTCCCATCATGTCTGGTGCCCTTAGGTATTTTGTATGATGGCGATGTATCAGTGTGGTTCTGCTGTGACAATAAGATGAAGCAAAATAACCTGTGTGCGCTATGTATGATGGGGTCTTTTAGGGGTCTGTGCCCAGGAGCCAGTTTTCTCCTAATCCATCCATTTTCACACCAGACTAGTTTTGCATGAAAAACCTGCTAATCTTTACAACGCTGATCATAATTTGTGCCAAACTAAGTAAATGTAAAACATAGTGACATTTGAACCAAGGTCTTACAGTTGTGAGTCATGGACCTGTATTTCATAAAATCCATCATTGCTGCTGTAATATTTTCCTATAGCAGCTCCAGGGAATTGTGATGATAACATGTGAATTCAACTGAAACATTTTCAGAATCAGAATCAGTGGGGGCCCGGGCCTTGTTGATGAGGCTAGCTGTAGACGGGTAGAAGCTGTTTTTGTGGCAAGAGGGGAGAGTCTGAAACAGTTTGTGGCCAGGATGAGAGGCGTCAGCTGCAATCTTTCCTGCTCACCTCAGAGTCCTGGAGGCGTGCAGGTCCTGAAGAGATGGAAGATTGCAGCCAATCACCTTCTCTGCGGAGCGAATGATACGCTGCAGCCTGCCTTTGTCCCTGGCAGTGGCAGCAGCGTACCAGATGGTGATGGAGGTGAGGATAGACTCAGTGATGCCGGTGTAGAAGTGCACCATCATTGTCTTTGGCAGGCTGAACTTCTTCAACTGCCGCAGGAAGTACATCCTCTGCTGGGCCTTCTTGGTGAAGGAGGTGATGTTCAGCTCCCACTTGAGGTCCTGGGAGATGATGGTGCCCAGGAAGCGGAAGGAGTCCACAGTGGTGACAGGGGAGTCACACAGGATGATGGGGGAAGGTGGGGCTGTGCTCTTCCTGAAGTCCACGACCATCTCCACTGTCTTCGGAGCTTTGAGCTCCAGACTGTTCTGGCCGCACCAGGACACCAGATGGTCGATCTCCCACCTGTAGGCGGACTCATCCCCACCAGAGATGAGCCCAATGAGGGTGGTGTCGTCCTCAAACTTCCCCCCTTAAATTAAACAAATTCACATTAAAACTAAAAAGTAGCGGTACAAAATACTCTAAACTTTCTCTTACATTGTTCAGTATCCATTCTGTGTTCTTTAGTTGAGACAGTGAAAGCAATAAGGTCTGGTAAATCTGTGACATCACAGGGGAACTTCGGGTGAGGGGACCACAACGTGCTCATTGTCACTCGTGTACAAGCTAGTGGGTCGTGATATTACTACCCTAACGTGCTGTACTCCCAAGAGGTGTGCGTCAGCGACGCAAATGCAAATAAATAAATAAATTGTAAATGCACTTTGTGTGTTGTCAGAGACCAAACAGTCAGGCAATGAGAAGAACAGGAGTTTTGTTGAAAAATAGGATTTTGTGTCTGTGTTAAAGAGTAGTGTGGCTACTCTTTAAACAGATCGCTAAATGCCTGCTATACTGTTAAGAGGGCATTAATTACAGGTGTGGGGTTTATGTTGCTCTCATTTAAGTTGTACATTAGACAGTATATTCTCACACATTTCTGTTCAGATAATGATAGAAATGTTGTATGATGTACAGTATATGTAACAAGAATTGTACTCATTGTTTTAATTTCTTTGTGTATTGACAGAAACCACACTCAAACACATGCCTTACAGCCCTGCAACATAGCTGTTCTCACTTACAGAAGCTTAACGTTATAGTTTAGCAGGTCGCAATTATGTGTGAACCAGTTCCTGCAATCCAGAGGTCAGTAAAAGTGAGAATGTTATAAAACTAACATTATAACACATGGGGAAGTTAATATAAAACTGTACATTTTCAATTGTGGCACAATATAGTCAATGGGGTGCTCTAATAGGACTGGAAAGAGGCCTGTCAGCCACCCACAGGGCATGTGGCCAAGTACCAGCTCACCATGGCAACAGCTGATCCCACAGAGGAGAAATTAAACCAACAGCATGTATTTATCAAGATTCAGTCAAGTTCAACTTGCCACTGTAATAGCAATTTTCCTTTACTGAGTCTTCTGAAATAAAGAGTTCAATCCAGACATCTTTAAGGGTTTCATTCTTTACAAAGGGTCAGACAAACATACAGAGGGCAACCAGTCTGCAGAATGTAAGACAAAGAGCCAGTGAAGCAACAGGTTACTTATATATATATATATAAATAAGATTATCATGCAGCTGTCCAAGGAAGGAAGGGAGTAGGAACCAATTGTCCTTTCAAGGCCTATCAAGGACAGTCAGATAAGAAACCCACTAACGTGCTACTTTCCCATTTGAACTGCCTTCACCTAGCTGCAACATAAGAAAAGTATCAAACACCACACAGTGTAACATAAGCCTATTCTGGCCTATTAGAGTAAGGCATATAAAGCTAAAAAAAAACAAATTTCCATCACACCAATGTTTTAATAATTAGTTTCTTATATCATTTTTCTCAGAGGTCTCAATGAATGTTGTTTATTAATGTTCACAGTAGGTTAAACACCAGGCATGCTCAGGGTGGCAGACACACACAGAGACCCAGTCAACTGTGTTTGCTTTATGTTTGGCAGATTGTCTTAATTAGGGGAAATGAATGTGAATGGAGAACAATATTTAGTCACGTATGACTACTACCAGCACTACCATTGCACAAACAAACGTGGTTCCTCGTTTGTGTGCATGTTGTGATACCTAAAGTGATCTAACTTTCCACATCTGATCAAATGTTGCCAATCCCTTTTTTTTAATGTTGCCATTCATTATGTCTATTGTTGTGTACGCCGTTACGTCAGCGTCATCGCAACCAGCTGTGCGCCCCTCCGACCCCTCCTCCTCGCTAGAGGAGGCAGTTTATCCTGAGGGAGAAGTGGACAGACATCCACAGTTAGCGGTCACCGTGTCGTGAAAGGACGGCATGATGTGGCCCTTCGTACCACTGCTGCTGCTGCTCGGTCTGCTGCGACCCTGCACCGCCGGAGGTTCTTTCACACAGGTACCTGTTGGTGTCCACACACACACAACGCTTTCACAGCGTGGTGACAGGTAGATAGAAAAGACAGACGCGACGACCTGAAATCAGATGACATCACTGTTTTCTAATAATTCACCGTCTGCGCCGTCTTAAACCTAATTAGACGGTATCAGGAGAAAGTGGTAGCCTATTTGTTTGAATATATGATGTAACCTACAAAGTGAGAAGTTGTAGGCTGGATGCTGGCTTTAGCCTATATTTTTTTCATCATTTGACTTAAAATGTTTAAAGCAGATTGGTAGAAAAACACGATGGTATTTTGCATGCAATTTAGCAGCACCTCTAGTCTCTCATAACCTCTGATGACCAGTTTTAACAAAAGTTTTGGCATGTTATCAGGATTTTCTAGAAACTCCTGATTAAGTGGTCCCGTTTCTTTGCACCTGCAAATGTGGGCATTGATGACTTGTGCCCTGCTCATGTTTCTTCATTACCATACGTCTTCCTATAGTTTACTGCTAATTGGTATTCAAACTAATGGACTCACTACAATGACTTGTGTTGCAGTGTTGGCAACACAATCAAACCTAACAGAAAGTCGATAATTTAATCTACATTTAAGGGTGGTTAAAACAACAACCTGTTAAGTGCATCCCCTGCAACACAAGTGTTAAATGAAGGCACATGCTGACTTCTAATTGTCCAGTGGTTTACCTGCTTGTACAAATTACATATCAAGCAGACATTCTCCTCTTGCTCTGTTGACACTGGTCGTGTGTGGGTAGTCAGTAGTCTAGCATACATAACAGCAACAACAAAAACAGAGGTTAAAGTGTTGCAGCATCCCATATTTGTTTAAAGCTTTAGCCACCCTTTGGTAAATAAACTCTTGATATTTGCACTGGAAATAGGTCAGACTGCAAAGACAGGTCACTTGCTTGGTTGATCTTAAGGGCCTTTTAAACAGTTCTTCAGACTTAATCTACAGATTATTTTTTTGATTAATTTAGTGTTCAACTTCCCAGAGCCAAAAGTGACACATTCAAGTATCTATTTTTTTTAACCAATGCTTCAAAACTCAATGAAGATTAATTTACTTGTATAATAAAAGCAGCTTCTCCACATTTGAGAAGCTGGTATTGGCAAATGTTTGGCATTTGTGCTTGAAAATTATTCATAATTGTTTTTTCTTTCTTTGATTAATCGACTAATTGATCTAGACTCAATTTAGAGTTCATTATCTAATATACATACAGTCACATATAATCATCTTTTTAATATTTCCCATGAAATGGAAAAGCATATTTGTCACGGGGACTGTTTTATTTTTTATTTTATTATTAATTACTCACTCACTTATTCATAAATCTGTAGCGGCACATCCAACCAACATCCAAGTTTGTGGCTAATGTTTAAGCAGCAATATCTTGTTTGTTTTGAAAAATGTCCAAAGTGAATGACTCATCATTAAACGGAGTGGGTGACTAAAAAGTTACAAAACCCACCACCTAATCAAACATGTGAATGAAATGAGGGAGGTCAAATCCATGTTAAGGCCCACTATTGGCTAGCAAATGGGTGGTGTAAAAGTCCTGTAGGATAAGTCCATGTAAAAGGCATTGCCATTTTTGCATGCAAAAATACTACAGTAAATAAATGCTGATGTGTCAGCTGTTGGCTAGAAGAAACCAATATATGCTTTGACCTGTGTCTTTACCCCGCAGCATTGTGAGAAAACAGACGGCACAATTTACAAATACCAGGCAAGGACTCTTAACGGGAGTCACACTGTGAACTTCAGTGACTACGCGGGCAAGAGTGTCCTCTTCATCAACGTGGCCACGTACTGAGGATACACCTTTCAGTACACGGGTAAGAAAAAGCACCACAGGCATCGTTGTTTTGTGTTGCACTATTATTACAAGAAATAAAAAACACCTGATGAAATTTGAGCTTCTTCTTTCTCTTTCTATTATCAGAACTGAATGCACTACACGAGGAGATGAAACCACTCGGACTCACGATTCTCGCCTTTCCCACCAACCAATTCGGAAAACAGGAACCAGGGCAAAAACATGAAATTCTGCCAGGTTTAAAGTGAGAACTGTTTCTCTCTAAGTGCAAATCAAAATCAGCCACAACTCCCTGAATGAAAACACTAAAAAGTCAACAAATTAAACAATCACGTCAAAGCCACATAAATGCAGTAACCCTTTAAAGGGTCTTATAATGCAAGAACACGAGGCTGGATTTTATTTTATTTTTTTCTTCTTCAGCCTGTAGAAGACGTGAAAACATGAGAATCCCCTAACTATGACTCACAAGCTTCCCACAAGACACTATGGATACTAAGGCTCTGTAACGTAAGAACCTTCAAAGCTGGATGTAGAGAGGAATTTGCAATCTTGGCAAATCCTCTTCTTCTCAATCAACAAAGCTTCATTTAATCAGGGAAAACATCCTTTGGCAATAAGATCAGTTTCTTAGTGGCCTCTCGAACACTCGTAGAATTTATGTCTCAGGTTCTCATCTTGTATCCATAGCAAAGCCACTGCAGTAGACTGTGTGGTTTCAATCTCAGTGCTCAGAGACACGTCCGCTGATAAGCTGCCTTCTTTCTGGATTCCAGGCATGTTAGACCAGGCAATGGATTTGTTCCAAACTTCCTGCTGTTTGAGAAAGGTGATGTGAATGGAAAAGACGAGCAAGAGGTTTTCACTTTCCTTAAGGTACGTTGCGGTGTGTGTGATTTTATTTTTTTAATATGTTTATTCTACAGAGGTAGCCTGTTCTTTTACAGTAGTTTAATCCATGTGTGTTACTAATGCAGTTTTCCAGCTATGCACAAATTTCTTCAGACCAAATTTCAAACCTCATTACACTGACCTGACAAGTCACTCCCTTTTTTACTGAATAGTGCATAACATGTGCTCGCACCCAACACACACAGCCAAACCCAATATGAGGTACTTTCAAAATTTAAACCGCTATTAATAGCAGTTTGATTTATGCGCCACAGAAAAGTGGTCTCACAAGGTTTCCTGTAATGGAGATGATGATTTTAACTAAACAGATGTGTTGCAGATCCAAGTGGACCCATGCGGATCTTTCTAAAGGTGGAGGTCGTTCACTTGACAGTCCAGATGTTTCACTCATTATAATCCTGTGCTTTTTGCCATACAGAACTCCTGCCCTCCAGTTGGAAACGACTTTGGTGACCCCAACAACAGGTTGTTCTGGGGGCCTCTGAAGATCAACGACATCAAGTGGAACTTTGAAAAGTTTCTGGTGGGACCAGACGGGAAGCCGGTGATGAGGTGGCACCCAAGTGTCAACGTTTCTCAAGTCCGAGCTTACATTCACAAATACCTGCTCAAACAATACACACACGATTAGATCTGATTCGTCATACAGTATTGTCCATCTAATGAAGTAATAGTAACGAGACGATGTGAGAAGTAGAGCTATGGTAGAATTGAGTAATGTTAACAGTTTCTGGTACATGAAGATGGCATTTTGAATGAAGAGGAGGCTTGAAAACAGGACCTCTGTGGTGCCTCTTCGGAGTCTGGGGTTCAGGACAGTCCTTCAGTGCATTCAGGCTGCCCTGCAATCACTCAGCATCATGCAATCTTCTCATCTCCAGGACCTGTTTGCCATTACAGCCTGAATGTTAATTACTTCCAATAAATCATGGCGAACATGTGGATGTGCAGACCTTTCTTTGCAAGAAACGACCGTTATACTGTGGTTGTCATGCCATTAGAGAGAGAACATGATGCAGCATATTTGTTGACCCTTGAGATTTCTCTCCTGCAATACAAATGCGCAAAATATGAGCATGAATAAGCAGGGTGAGATGCTAATAGACATTTAGAATATTTATTAAGCCAGTCAAATACAAAAAGTCTCACATGTGCTTTTGCCTACAGCAAAAAAGTAAAAGGGCTACAAACCAAGAAAATACAACTGCCAGTAATTACAGCGTACCAAAGTGCAATTCTGCTAACTTCTCATTTCAACTCACCCATCTGGATTTTGTTCCCACTAACTTAACGGTTTGATAAAACAGAGCCAATTTGCAATTCATCTGCACATATTTTGAAGTCCTTCATCAGACTACATGATTAACACTATACAAAGTAAACTTTCATAGGTCTTCAGGTAAAACAGTGGTTTATTTCAGATTGGATTGGTCTTTGAAAAAAGTAACATAATCTCGTGGTGTGGAGTCTGTGCCTGTTATCAGGGATCCTGACTTTGTTATAGCATTTTGCAGGTTGGTTGGCACGGCCTGGATTGCTGGTTGGTGAAGTGGGCAAAGAGCAAAGCCAGAATTCCTGGCAAGTTTTCCTTTGAGGAGTGGCTGTACTGCTCTAACAATAGATCTAGGGACTCCCAAATACTGATGACAATCTTCCTGTTTCTGTTGCTTGAACAGAATTTGAATGTTTCAGTAATAGGCGTGATAGCTGCACTGATTACAACTCAAGTTATCATGAAATAAGATTAAGAGGAAAAATGTCATCGCTGATGCCTAAAAGGTTTTGGTGCTGTAACTTCTAGATACTATGTGTTGGGGCTGAACTGGGCAATCGGACAGGATGCAGTAAGATGAGTATGAATATCGGGATGAGTGGTCAAATCATCAAATCAATTGTGGTCAAGTAGAAGTGTTGTGTTTAATGAGATTAGGTCCATCATCATGGGGAAAAAAAAAAAAAAAAAAAGACTGTATGTACTGTGCATGTGTATTGGGTGTCTGATACAAACATACAATGTCAATAGCTACAATATATTTGGATTACACTAACAACATAGAAAGAACAGCATTACTAAAGACAATGATTTACACTTAAGTCAATGCAACTATCAAAACAGCAGGTTATAAATAAATTATCACAATCATGTTTTTTGGTATGATACCATCAAAATTCATTTCCCGAAATTTTTGTATTTCAACAACCACTTTTGAACAGTTACACATATGGGACAGGTCTATAACATCGATGGCACTGAAGAAATCTTCAAAAATCAATTAACATTCACATTGTAAATTCTATGATTCAATGTACCTATATAATCATTCATTGTTGGAATGAGTATATGTAGTCTTAGTCATATTGGGGAATGGCTTCTTGTAACCCTACAAGTAACAAACTAAGTGTCAAGTTGTTACATATTTGCAGAGAGACAAATCACATAGGTATATTTTTCTGGAACAAAAACAAAAACCATGTTAATCATTCCAACCTATTTAACAAATGACTTCAGTTCCTGATAATAAAAAAAAAATAATAATAATCCAAATAATATTTCATGTATATATTCAGAATAGCGAAGTGTTTCACAAATAGCCTTATAAAACGCAAGTATAAACAACATTACAATAGGATATCTACAGTTCAGTAGGAAAATTATAGATCAAATCACACCTCGTCAACTCAAAAACAAACTGATTTCATGCTACTACCCAGACTCCATTAGGTGGGTACGGTGATGCTTTAGTGCTTTCCAGGGTCAATGTTCTGTCGCTCCCTTTTTCCAAATCCTGCTCCTGCTGCTGCGGCTGCTGCGGCCTGATCTGCAGACACACAAAAGGAACAAGACTTCATGATCTTCATCGCCACAGACTTTGCTGCTACACACTTTTCCTTCAAAATGAATCCAGCAAACATTTAGCCAACTGTGGGGCGTAATCTAGCAATTCAGAAAATATTCAGACTGCCTGAAAATGACAATGTCTTTTTTTAAATCATCAACAAAACTTAAGAAAAGACCAAAACCACAATGGACACACACACTACTAACAAGTACTGCCTCCTCAAAACTTACTGCTCTCCTCTATAGAACCAACTGCTGTCCAATAACTATTTAAAAACACATAACCAGCCACTCCATTGTACTGGGTGACACTCCTTCATTACCATGTATATAGTACTTTATTTTTAGTCAGTTCTATATCCACCATCCTAATATATTCTCAATGCACGTATTATTCCACTACTACAAATGCATAGTTAGGTTTTTCTTGATTGCATTTTGTTGACAATAAGGGGAAAATACAGAGCAGCCCCATTCTTATCCTTTGCGCAATAAAAACAGTGTACAAAAAAAGTGATTTATTTATTTATTACCATAAAAATATAAGATTGTACTTGGCTGGCTTGTAACATGCGATTCATGCTTTTATCTCAACTCGTCTGGACTACTGTAATGCACTTTACATTGGCGTTAACAAAACCCCTCTCTCACGCTTACAGTTAGTACAAAACTCGGCCGCTCGTCTTTTAACTGGAACTCGCAAGCATGAACACATTACACCAGTGCTGGCCTCGCTTCACTGGCTCCCGGTCCATTTTAGAATACATTTTAAGATCTTATCGTTTGTTTTTAAGTCACTGAATGGGTTGGCACCTCACTACATCTCACACCTCTTACAAGTCTACACCCCCCCCCACGGTCACCTAGGTCTACTGACCAACTTCGGCTGGTCGCTCCAAAAACCAGGTTAAAAACCAGGGGCGACCGTGCTTTTTCAGCAGCAGCCCCTAAATTGAGGAATGAGCAACCTCCACAGATCCAATTGGCCCCAACCCTCGAATATTTTAAATCCCGTCTTAAAACCCACTTGTATTCCCTGGCTTTTAACCCAGCATGAGAGCTGTGTAGCCTTGTTGTTTTATGTGTTTGTTTTATTTCTTGTTCAGCACTTTGTAAACCTTTGTTTTTTTAAATGTGCTATATAAATAAAATTGATTGGATTGGCTGTACCATACCTGCATTCTCTGGTGGTGGTCTTGAGCTCTCTCCTACTGCTCTGGCCCCTCTGGGCTGCGGGAATGACGACTGCCAAGGAAAACCCTGAAGAGAAAGCAACACCATAAGCTCAATTCACTAAATATACTCATTCATCACAACAAGCAGCCCTCAGGTCTTTGCCATAACCTAACAATCGTTATATGTAAGCATGGCTAGGTTGAGCTTCAGTTAGACCTAATTACATCTGCTTGTTCCTCCAGAAAGATAAAAAGGGCGTAGAGGCAAGAGAAAGAAAAGCCTCAGTGAACATGAGTCACTCCAGAGACAGAGACATAGGGGCCTTAGAGGACCCTTACCGGGGTAACAGGCTGGAAGTCTCGTACAGGGGGCGGTGCTGCGGCGGCTGCGGCTGCTGCTGCTGCTGCTGCTGCTGTGGCACCTGCTGCATTGGGCATCCGGGGAGGGAAGTGTACGGGCCAGCCCTCAAGGCCCTGCGGTCCCACCTGCACAAAGGGACCACAGTAGGGAGGGCTCAGCGGGCCGTTCACTGAGCCTGACGTGGGGTCTGAGGTACGTCTTTCCTGCTGCTGCCCCTACGAGGGATCACAAGTACACACGTGATCCCCAATCAGTGTACGGCTGCTACTCTCAGTGAGCGTGACCTTCAACCCTCCTGTAGCTGACTCCCACTGAGGAGTGTAAATATTCCACCTGTTGCTCCCGACTACACTGACAAACAACCTAGCTGGAGTGAGGCTCTTGTCCTGGAGTATTGATTTGTCCAGTATGAACTTAGGATAGTCAACATCTGTGTGACTGCTTTCTGTCACAAGGGGGCGCTACACTGCAAGGTTTACCCCAATTCATATCCTCCTGGTGATGCATCTCAAAGGCTTGAACAGCAACTTTCAGTGAATGCCTTGGCCCTAATTTAATCTACCTGGCCAGAATGACCACACATATCACCTATCCAGGCAGGCGGCACCATTTCATTCAAAATATCAGCATGTCTGCGACACTGCCAGACTCAGACCTCAGCTGCAGCCAGTACCTGTTTGTGATGCTGCATCTGCAGTCTCTCCAGCTTACATCTCTCTGTGCGTTCTCTCTGACACTCGTTCTGCGCCTGATGAAGCTGAATCACAAATACAAAATTAAAAAAATCCCGCATTAGAGAGCAGTTTACTTATCATTTCTATTCAGTGCAAGACACAACAGCATTCTTACTTGTGCCCCATACAGGAGAATATACTGTAAACACACTTCTTACCTGGTTGGTCAAATTAGTAATCTGACCCTGGAGTCTCTCAACTTGCCGCCTCAAGTCCTCCTTTTCCTCATTCATTCGCTCTCTGTCACTCCTTTCTTTTCTGAAGTCTTCTTCAAAAATCTTCACCTGAAGTACAAAAGCACCCATTTGAATGCAGTTTAGGAAATGCATGTATAATTGCAATACAACTGTGTATGTGTGTGTATTTTTTGCTGCATGTCTGACCTGTTCCTTTAGTACAGCAATTTGAGTAAGCAGTTCCTGTTTCTTCAGGTTACTGGCTGCATCGGCAAAGTTACCCTGGCCAGGTGGTTGTTGGGAAGAGGATGGGGCGTGCAGATTTAAGGCTTCCTCTAAAGCCTGAAATAATAAAAAACCAAAATAAAAATTTACACAGAAACAAATGTCTGTTCTTCATCTCTCTCTCTTTCTGCATCTCTTGCACTCTCACCCTGTTGAGGCGTTGGATCTCCTTCTCCTGGTACTCCCTCTGTTTGCTCAAGGGCAGCAGCTGATCCTGCAGGTAGCGAATCTTCTGCTTCAGCTCAGTGGTCTCAGAGTTTAGGCACTCTTTCTCCCCCTGAAACATACACACCCAAATACACTGAACACCTTTCTTAGAGTATCCTTTAACATGTCATTTTGGGTTTTGTGTCCTGGTTTTGAAATGTTAGGCC